CCTAAGATTATAAAATGTCATAAATACCATTCCTTATGTTTTTTTTTATAAGAAAATCCTTTCTTATATTCCCTTAACCCTCATGTGTTCTCCCTTAACCCTCATGTGTTCTAAGTTATTTCAATTTTATTTTATTTATTTTTTTTTTTTTTTTGCAATGAAATATTTGTCACAAAATATTAGAACTTCCATATCAGATGACCTACAGTTTTTTTAGGAAATGAAATTGTATTTAGCCAAACTGGCCAATTCCAGAGTAAGTTCAGGACCTTCCATACAATCACTCTTAATTTATTTCTCAAAAAACGTGAATCAATGCTCTTTTTGACATACTAAATGTTTTTCTCTGATGAAAATGTTATTCACTTAAGGTGGTGAGGGTGAGATTTCTAGTGAGAATGGTGGGGTTTTTTTTATTTATAAATATTTTAATTAGTTTAGTGGTAGACGGTTTATAATTTTTTGAGAAATATTGGTGAAACAAGAAGAAATGGGCAAAATAGGAAATATATTTTATTTGGTGGTGAAAAACATATCACGTCTCTTAAATAAACGATAATTACAACCACCAAATAAGTAGGAAAAAAACCCAGAGTTTATCAAGAGCAACATTACGAAAAGGAAAAATATTAATTTAAAATCTGTGCGTAAGATGCATGGATTCACTACTTGCAGTCCTTAAGCTCCATATACTTGCACTCAGCCGTAACCCTAACCCGGTTAACAACATAGTAATATTACTCTGTTACACAATAATAATGAGTTTTGTTGTGTTAATATTACTGAGCTAGAGATTAATATATTAATATTACTGTGTTAAACTGTAGTATAGTTAATTTTACTGTCAATCACAACAATATTGTTGTTTAAACGGGGAAAAAAAAGATGTTAGAGAAAGAAAGAAAAAAAAATTCGAAAAAGTCAACACCGGAAAAATAAGGAAAAAAAAAAAGTCAATGCCTGAGACTGGCGGTCAACGGCGGTGACGGACGAAATTGTCCATAAAAATGTGTTTTGGGTCAAAATTGAATAATTTATGAAAGGTGGGGTCAAATTGAGGTTAAATTAAATTAAATGATGAAATTTGAGCCTATTAAAGTATGAGGGGCTATTTTAGTATTTTACAAAAACCTAAACCATGTGTGGACTTTTTTTAAAGAATTTATTGTCTGGATTTCTTTATGAATAAGTACCCTTTGATGGGTTTATTTGTAAACATCCTATAATTAATTAGTGGTGAAAGATTAATCCAATTTCAGCTGATCCAATGTAATCGGATACATGTAAGATACATGTAAGCAAAGGAGGCCTTAAAGTGCTAAGAACATGTACAATGGACTAGCTAAAAAATTCTCATTAAAGAGTGGGGTCCACATGCCACATACTTCTTTTTCTTCACTTTATCACCTCTCTAAAAATGGGTCCCACATTTATCACTCTCCAAATTAAAATTGCTCCAATGGGTATATTTTATTGCTCTCCAAAGTAACTCTCCAAATATTAAACTATAATAAAATATTCACTATTTATATAAAAAAAAATACAAATTAATCCACTACAGCCCAATTTCCTCTCCAAAATTTCCCTAGTCTTAAAGTCACAACACAAAAAGGGATTTTAATGAGCCCATTGTACATGCTCTAAACTGCTAATACAGTAATAATATGATTGATCTGATTTCCACCGCATAACAATCCTCTGAAAAACCATTGCCAATTCGACAACGGCGGCGACGCAATCCGGTAAGAAAAGCCTTCTCTTCTTCTCTTCCTTCGATTCACAACAAAAATGGAAATCTATTCTTACTCCAGCTTTTTTCTTTCATCCCTTCACCCTTGATTTCATTACCATATTGTTTTAAGGATAATTGCTCTTGATTAATCAAATTAAAAAAGCATGTCATATTTCTGATGCAAATTGCTATTCAAATAATATTCATAATTTACCACTAATTGTGGATTTGTTTTTTTTTTTTTTTTTTTTTTTTTTTTGGAGTTTTAGTTTGATAATAATATCTGACAATTTCTACCAATATTGTTCATCTGGACTAAGAATTCACGATGGAGATGTTTTTTGCTGGGTAAATTCAATGTGTATGTATGGTCACAGTTTGCGAGTACGGAAATTACTACTTATCTGTTTTCGGAATTGATAAATTGTTATCTTTGTTTACGTCGTAAACTTCGTTTATAAATTATCATTATTCACAATTAGAAGGTTTAGAAAATTGGGGTTGAATCGGAAGTGTATCACTCGTATGTTCATGTGATCTGCTTTTGATGCTTGTTCGGTGGTTTCTCTTTTATATTTATTAGGTGTCGTATTGCGGCAGAGAGAAGCGCGTATGAATATTCATGATTTCGGGCAATTAATACAAAAGTGCCGAACAAGGGCAAATTCATGCTCAATTGCCCATTTTTCGCGTAAGTTTTCTTACTAGACTACATTTTCCATGTTTACAATTGTGACAGCACGTTTGAGATGACAAATAATAAATGAAATAAGTTAGTTGTGTTTCCCGTTTAGCAATGGTTATCAACATATTATTTTCACTTATAATAGGTGATTTATTGATTATTTAATAGTTACCCTTTGAAGGTTGACTGATTGTTAATGATTCATAATCGACATTTTTAATATGATGATGTTTCAGTATTGAGTCATAGAATCGGAATCTAGTATTTGCGTATTCTAGTAAATCTTCCAAATATTCTTTTTACGATGGATAAAAGTATCTTTGAGTTGCATAAAACAATCAATTTAGTTTTGGTATTATATAGAACCTCGATAATCTAATTCGTTAAATTTATAAGATTAATTAATACATAAAATAAATTCATATAGATGTGATGCAACGAACGAATCTGAATCTGTTTTATTCAATCTTAACTCTACAATTATTTGCATAAAGCAGTAATTCCTTTTTCTTGTTAGTTGCTGTTTGGCCAAAAACACGATAAACTTTCGTTATGTCTCGTGCACATCTATCATTTGATCATTAAAGTGTCAAAAAATATAATCAAAAGTACAACTCGATTATCCCAGTAACTAAGATTTAATTAATATATGCAGGATAAGGAATCGGAGTAATTGGAAAATTCCATTCCAATTTCTATTCGAATTATACAATTGGTTCCGTCAAACGTCAATCAACTAGCTCGTGTTCAATTGGTTCCGTCAAACGTCAATCTTGCATTAGGCGACACTATTTATGGATGAAAAAATAGTGCATTCTTTATTTTCAGATGTTTTTCGCTCTCTGAAATTATTTCTGTGTTTTTGTTTCATTTCAACGACTCTTGTATGCCTTGAACTAAGAAAAATCGAATTACGACTGACAGATGGGCGAGAATTGTGACGGCAGCACACAGTCTAAAGAGCAGATTGAAGCACATATTCATAATAGGCAAGATGCTGCTCCGAGAAGGGAGTGTCCGTTGGCTTATGCATATTCGAACCAGGTAGTAATATAGCTATCTCTATTTCCTTTTTAGCGACCGTATATTTTAACCTAAAAACTAGTAATGCCAAATATTTGCATTGTATAGGATAATACCACGAAAAAAAGTCAATTATACTAAAAGTATTTAAACTGGAAACGGGAAAGCAAAATGATCTTTATTATAGAGAAAAGTGTACGATTATTATATATCGAACAAGAAAAGTAGGGTTAGCAATCGTCCTAAATTGAAGTTAAACAATTAATGTACTACTATAGTACGTGCATGTCGTCCTAAAAATTCACGTAGCCTATTACAACTCCCTTTTCATAAGTTTTAATCGACTATGGAAACAATTTAATAACTAAAACATGTATGTATGATCTCGGTCATATTTACTGAATAATTCCTACCCATATGTTTATATACGTTCACACGTGTTTTCTTCGTGTATTTCCCGTAAAATGTTAATGGAAATGATAAATTTAACCTAGATTTTGCAATAGTATGTATATAACTTTGAATGCGTATGTAGCTTAATGAATGCTGATAATCTATTATCTGAGTCCATCTTCATCACTTGACGATAATTCCTACATCGTAAACTATCTTTATTTTAATTTTTTTTTCTTCAAATTTAGTATGTATCAAATGGAATAACTGTATATGGTAATTATAAACCTTAAAATCATTCAAATTTATGTTAAAAACATCAAACTTGAATTTTTTTAAGACTATCGGTTCGTGTAATAAATTAGCTGTATCCAACTTCATACATTGGCAGAGATAGGATTTTATTACAAATGGCAGAAACCTCTTAAATGTTAAATGCAGTTATAAACTTGCTAATCATGTCCAGATTCATTATAACTTCGAATGGAAAAACAATTATGACGTAATCCAATTAGTCTTTTCCTTACATTTTACAGCCAACATTACAATTTTTCTAGCATTTCAAATATCGTTACATTCTTAATTGAGGGCCTTCTACGATATTCAGAATCGCTGTTCAATCAAAACCCTAGTGCTATATATTTCTTGTTTTTGTGCAAATAGAACAACAGTTATAGCCATTCCATCAACAAATAGAACAGTGTTAAATCAATTTTTTTTTTCGTTCTTTCTTTCTCCGTTTTTTGTAATTCTTTCGCGCCGAAATGGATGCAACTGATCTCCCGTTTCATATCATAATGGTTATCCTCTCGATGCTTCCAGTCGAAGCCCTAGCCAAGTTCCAGTGCGTCTGCAAAGCCTGGAAGAACATAATCCGGGATCCGAAGTTCGTGAAAGATCACTTCCAAATCCAGGCGGCTAAAGGTAAAGACTATCTTCTTTATGTGCCGTTGGACCGTACGATCGAGCGTGCGTTCACATTACTTTGTGATGAAACGTTCGATCAGGCCCTAGAATTCGAAATTCCTTCCGAGTTTCGTGATATGAGCTTCATTATAATTGGTTCTTGTAACGGTGTGTTGTGCTTCACTGATGCGAATAGCTTCGGTAGCACCGTGTATTTGTGTAACCCCTCGATTAGAAAATACAGGGCCGTAATTAACCCAATGTTTGATGGTGTTGAATTATCGTGCCAAGGTGATGTTGATTTTGCTTTAGGGTTTGGGTATTATGAACACACGAACGATTACATGATTATTAGGATTGCTATCCTAAGTGACGAGGAAGATGAGGCAACTAGCAAAGTCGAGGTTTATTCAATGGTCGCAAATTCGTGGAAGAATCTAGAAGTGGATCACTTTCCATGGGAAAGGATCGAATTAAAATCGGAAGCTGTGATGGGTGATTCGGTTCATTGGAAGGCGGATTACAGAGATGGGGACGAGGGTATTCCGGTAATTTTGGCGTACCATATGGGAGAAGAGGTGTTCCGACAGATTGGATTACCTAATTATAAAGCCGATGGGAAAGACCTGGTCGAACACATTGGAGTGTATAAAGGGAATCTTGCTATGTTCGTATTTCATCAATCGGATCACTTTTCGTGGCACAAAAACTGCCACTTGTGGGTAATGAACGAGTACGGAGTGGTGAGTTCTTGGACGAAACTATACACTGTAGTAATAGATGCCGGAGTTGTTACTCCGATTATGTTTACGAATAACGACGAGATTATATTTGAAGACGGCGAGTGTGATTTGACCGTATGCCACTTCGAAAGCAACACGATTTCGTACCTTGGAGTTGAAGATCAAGGTTACCTTAATTTCGTGACGTACAACGGTAGCCTTGTTATGTTGGAGGACTAAAAAAAATGGCATTTGGTCATTTTTTTATCGACGAAGAAAGAGTATTTTGTTCGTTTGTTTAATTTTGAATTACCATGATTTTCTATGGTAAGTTGGACTTGGAATAGTTGGTTATTAATTGATCATTCGCCATCAATGTTTTTGAAAGTTGTTTCCCGATATGTATGAACGATATCGTTTGATTGCAATGAACTATATACTTGTTAGATAAGGGATGTTTTGTTTGTAACTGGTAGAGATAATATAAGGATGCTAAATGCGATAAAACCTTCTCGAAATTTAAAGATTCTAATTTAAAGCTCGATTTACCGATCACTTATGAGACTCTATGCATCCCAAAAAAGAAGGATAAATAGAACTTAATTCCTCATAATTATCTTCCATTCTTTCATTGATTGATCGGTGGCGTGCTACTGTTGACAAAATGGCAATCAAATCGAATTGTTGATGCTGGTTTTCTTTTAATTTCGTTGATTTCAGATGATGAATTATAGAGATGATTGATCTATATGAATACTAGTAGTAGTCGGTTTGTTTGGATACGTGCATTACAGATAGTCTGGCTTGTGAATAAAAGACTGGTGAATGATTGAATTTTGTGAATAATTTGTATAGGATTTAAAATTAATTGGGATGAAACTTGCCAAAATGGTCATATTCTGGGGTGCAAAATGATATTTATATTAAAACGGGTAAATTCCACTTCCCCCTAGTACTTTGGCTCAATATCACTTTACTCCCTTCTATTCTCGATTGCATCGAGTTGCCCTCCTGCTGGAAAAATTGTCTCAATGTGGTCATCGCCGTTAGTTTTCAGACCTTTGACCTTAACACCATTTGATCTAAGTCTGAAAATTACAACAAAAACCATCCCTCCCAGTTTAAATAATTATTAAAAAAAAATAAAAAAAAAATTGTGGCTGGCGTCGTGGACTATGTTTTCTCGTTGTCTTGAATTATTTTTTTTTTTCTTTTTCATTATTATTATTTAAACTGAGAGATGTGGTGTTTTTGCAATTTCAACGTTTAGTTCAAACGGTGTTAAGGTCAAATGTTTGACAACTAACGGCGAGGTCCATATTGAGACAATTTTTCAAATACAAAGGGCAAATCGATGCAATCAGAAAGTAGAATGGAGTAAAGTGATACTGAGCCAAAGTATAAAAAGGGAAAATGGAATTTATCTTATTAAAAATACTAACAATATAAATAAATACCCATTACAGTTTTCAATTATTTACTCGTTAATTGAAAATTAATAATATCTGATTTTTTTTGTTATAACATTATTGTGAATTGGTGAATATATATTTTTACATAAATTATGATCACATTACCAGTGACACTTTTTTTTTTGGTCCAACTTATTACTTGGGATGTGATCGTCGCCACTTGGACATCTTGGGCTTCTCGTTCCACCGGGCGAAGACGACTTGCAAATTCCCGCACTCTCCACCACAAACACGAGAATCCTTCGCAACAACACCATTGTCATGCGATAGGAGCTTGTCCTTTTCTGGAAAAGCATCATTCACATTAATCTTGATCGTCCCCATGGTGAAGGTTTCCAAACCGTTTTCTCGAGCTCAAATGTCTCCTCCCCATGCAACATTCGGTTACAACGATCCCATATACGCCAGCATACCACCAGTGCCTCCAAGAACGATGCAACAAAAGTCGAAATCCTAGTCATGTGCAAGAAGTGCATGCACAACCACGAATCAACCAACATGCTCCAAACCCTGAAATAAGAGGGCAATAAATATAGATAATCACACATGCTCAAATCTATATTTAATATTTTTTTAATTTCATGTTTTAAAGTTGTGTTCATTCCACCATCCTTAAATTGATTGAATTTAGATCTAACAAATAGCCAAACAATAGTTTGTTTTACAAACTTATATATCAATGTCATCTACAATGCACAAATTCTGCACTAATAAACTTGGGCACAAAATTAGCACTAATGAACTTGGCACACTTCCTGCACTAAAGAAGAAAAAAAAAAACAGTCTTAAATGAATTACACATATTCTTATTCCTTGACAAATAAACCGATAAAATGTCATTTTTCTCATAAGAACCAAATTTACTGAAAGCTCGCTAAAAAGGAAGTCTAATTTCCAGAGCTCGCTCAAACGTTTCATCATAAAGAAATCTAAAAGCACGATTAATTGCACGTAAAAATTGAAATTGCGCTCTCAATACTCATTTCACTGTCAATATAAACTCACTACTTCATCTCATTGCATTTCATTCACCATCTAAAATACACATTCTGTAGTATAAAAAAAAAAAAAAAACGTTATGCATTCTTGAAAAGAAATGGCGACAAACAAAATGCATTGAAAGTGGAAAAGCCATACAAAGAGTGCATGCTGCACAACCACGCAGCTGCCAATGGAGGATCACGCGAGGCCATGCTTGTGCTGCCTGCGAGGGTGCTGCGCGCAGAAAGAGAATAACGAGGGCCCAAAGCGAAATGGTGAGGGCCTTGACTGAGGAACGACTGGAAAATGTTCCGGGAGTACTCTCAGGCTGAGGTTTTACGTATTTGTTCCAATTTCGGAATAACTACACTGGCGCTAAAAAACTGCATCCCTCTACACAGGCGAAAAAGAAAAGCTGCAATAGATCAACACTAGGGTTTTCATTTTAGTTTTTCTTTTAGTTCCTAGATTTAAAGGGAACTAGTGTTTGTTGTAATAAATGTATTGTATGTACTGAGATGATATCTCTCTCCCTTTTCCTTGTCCAAAATTCAACTTTACTTAGAGATTTACAAAATCAATATACAGTTGCCTATACTACCATTCTAATTTACATTAGTATAATCCAATCTTCAAAATCAAGAAACAAAATCATTTGTGCCAAACATATCTAGCATGTTAACCTAAGAAGTTGTTGGTTATAGAAACAAAATATATACTGATGAATGAAAATATTATTATATACTGTCAATATAAAGTCGATTTCCTCTTAATTTAAATTCTAACTATATAAAAAAACTTTATGCACAGTCTTTGCTAAATCAGAAACCAAAGGTAGTTCAATCATTGAAATACACAAATCACACGTCGTATTACATATCATTTTCCTCTTGCATAGTATCACGAATTGTCTAGAGTTATTAGAAGAAAAAGAAAAGAAAATAGACCAAATAAAATAACTTCAATAGCTCTAAACACACACCAAAAATGCACATAACTTACTAATTTTGCACAAATTCTGCACCGATCAACTTGCCACAAAATCATCACAGTTTTCTGTTTTTACATTCTCATGATGCAAAACATACTAATTTTTTTCAGCTACTCTTGCTCAACTTTTATGAAAAGACCAAGAAATGAATTGCGCAAAAGATGGTAAAAAAATGCACTAACCTTGTCATAATAACCCAACTCATTCCCTTTCGCTATCATCTTCTTCTGCTCTTGAAATGGCTACCAATAATGTACAACAATAACCTAAGACAGTTCTCTTGCATGTACGAAGCAGATAACGAGGGCACACAATGCGAAATGGTCAGGGCCTTGTCTGAGAGAAACGACTGGAAGATGTTCCAGGTGTACTATGAGGCTGAGGTTTTACATATTTGTTCCGATTTCGGAATGACGAAACTGGCACTCAAAATTTGCATCTCACAACACAGGCGAAAAAGAACAGTTGCAATAGATCAACACTAGGGATTTTTTTTTTCTTTCCAGTTCCTAGGTTTAAAGGGAAGCTAGCAAAATTAAGATAGATCGGGCAGTGCACTAATATTGCACATTGCGCTAATATTGGACAATATAACTAAAAATAGATTAGTTTTACCATTTTAATTTACATTATTACAATTCAGTCTTCGGTCTCTTCACAATCAAGAAACAAAATCATTCGTACCAAACACCACTATCTATCAGCTTGTTAACCTAGACAAACTATAATTATACAAGCAAAATATGATGATCACTACCAATTAAATACTAATTCAAATTATCTTGGTTACTCTGTTTGGAGTTAATATTATCACAAAATTTCGTTCACCTAGGATTTCCAAATCGAACTTCCAATTTCTTTTCTTTCGACATTTCTATTTACGCAGCCACGTGCTAGGTTATTCTATATCAGCATCTCTAACAGAGGAAATACCAAAATCATATGTTCATGAATCAGATGCTAAGATTTTTACATACAAATAAAGGTTAGGTTACTTTTACGGTAATAATTATACTTTCTCTTACATTTCTAAATGGGTTTTTTTATTCCTTTCTTTCTTTTTAATGTAAACTCATTAGGGACATGTTAAGAACTAATTAATGTTTGCATGTATGTTCGTCTATCTATGTTAGCAAATTATATATCGAGATATTCATGCTTTAGAGGCATACCCGAGTTATCTCTACATTCATCACTTCCTTTGCCATTATCTTTTAATTGTGGGCACATTCTGAACAATACCGAAAACTAGTTATTCATCCATATCGACTTTGAATATCTGGATATCGTAAATCATATATATACACCAAATGAGTGAGAAAATTCAAATGTACAATCTTAGTATGTTAGTAGAGAGGATTAAGAATTACTAATTTTACATTCTACCAACAGCTGTGAAATGAAATATTGTTAAACGGGGCAAAAAGACAGTTAAATAGAACAAAAGTAGGGGTGAGCATAAAAACCGAGAAACCGAAAAAGCGAACCGAAAATCGAAAAAACCGAGCCGATACACACCGTCCCGACTTAAAACCGCATACACGGTAAATATTTTTTGAAAAACCGAAAAAATCGGTATGTGTATGGAGAAAAAAAAAATTTGCCGAACCGATATACCGAACCGAACCGATTTGGGAATACAAAACGACGTCGTTTGATAGATAGTAAAAATTGATAAGTTTTTTTGGTAATCAATGTGGCCACATTCGGATACTTAATCTTTTGATGTTGTTGGACTTCTTTTGTGATGGGGCAACAAGTATATTTTTTTTGAAGATGACATTAATGACATTGGATTTATTAGTTGTAATCTCATTATGTTTTTTTATGGCTGCAGGGTTTTTTTTTCTTTCTTTTTTTAATGGCAGTAAATTTGTTTTATTAGTTAATTTTGGATTGTTACTTGTTAATTTTCTCAAAGAATGTGATAGAAGTCCAAATTCACCGTTAATCAAACATCGGTTTTGTACAAAACCAATAACTTTTCACAAAAAAAGAGATTCGAAC